CAGAAAGCTAGAATCCTAATCAAGTAATTCGGCACTCCTATGGGCAAGTTTTAGGAACAGTTTGCAGTGGTTCACTCTATCAAAAGCCTTACTAGCATCAATAAAACATAAAAGTACAGATGAATTCAACTCCAGGTATTTACTGACAGTTTCTTTCAGTGCATAGATACAGTTATCAGTGCTGTGCCCTTTTTTAAATCCAAATTGATTGTCATTTGTTGTCAGGTAAATTTCAAGCCTAGCAATCAGGATGCGTTCTAGGATTTTAGACAGAACACTCGCAAGGGCAATAGGCCTGTAATTGTCCATACTATTTAGCTTAGCAGCCTTATCTTTAATTACAGGTACCAAATCAACAGAGATCATGGACTCTGGTAAAACTCCATGTATTAAGAGTCCACTAAGACACATAGACAGCAGAGGGCATATCTGCTTAGAGGAGTTCTTCAGGTGCTCAGCTGTGATTGTATCCAGACCGCAGGCTTTGTTTTCACTTAGCTTTAATATAGCATCCTGGATTTCAGTTGACCGTATCAGCATGCCAGCCTCCATATCCACATGGCCAACAGGACAAATGTCACTTTTCACGAATTAAATAAGTCAAAATAATGCTTCCTCCATAGCTCAGTAATATTTTGAGAACCACATACACCTTCAATGTTAGACGGCAATGGTGTTCTAGAGTTATTCATTGATTTCACCTCCTTCCAGAATTTATAAAAATCCTTACATTGAAGTCCTCTGGCAAGCGAGTCAGCTCTTAACATGTTTTCATTTCTTTTAATAAACCGTAGAGCATATTTAAATCTAGCTGTAGTTGCCTTTTTCGACTCAAACAGTGGTCCTGCTGCATGCCAGAGTCCAAAAGCTTCTCTAGCAGCAGCATGATGATCAGCCACAATGTCATTCCACCCAGGTTTTACATGGGGGGATTTATGATTTTTCCGTTGCAGGCATTCACTACTGTCTTTCAATACTTGGATTATGTTTTCATAGAATATACAAAGCTCATGGCAGTGACTAGAATTATTAGTTTGGATCAAGGCAAGTCAGTGCATCTATAGGCAGTGTCATGTTCTGCAACAGAACATTTGTCCTAGTTGTGTATTTTTCAATATTCTTTATACTTATTTTTGATCAGTCAATTCTGGCTGTGTGTCCAGCATTCTCATTTTCCAGTAGTTCTGGTATACTGTCCGTATCTAGGGATATAACTATAGGTATGTGATCAGAGGTGGCAAGTCCGTACATAATGTCCATGTTGCTCAGAGAAGCATGTGCATCTGCTGTGCAGACACAGTGATCCAGCCATGACGTAGAGTGCCAGGCATCACTGATATAAGTATAACTGTTATCTGGTAAAAGCAGTTCACTTGATAAAATAAGATTATTGTCTTTACAAAACTGGACTAAAAGTTTTCCGAAAGTAGATGATTTATCCGACAGGTCAGCATTAAAATCTCCAATAACAAACACACACGTTGTGCAGTTATCTTCAATAAAGGACTCTATGAATTCCAGTTTGTTTACAAAGTCATCTTCCATTTGGTGGGACTCATATGGCATATATACATTTAGCACAGTGCATTTTTTATCATTGAGGCTTATTTCAATGCTAATAGCCCAATCAACATTGAGCCTTAAAACCTTGACAGCAGAGTCATATTTAGCATTCCACAGAATGGCAACACCTCCAGGTATTCTACCCCGAACTATTCTAGTGCTGAGGTCTGTTGTAGATTCCCCTACTCCATGGAAATCCTCATGCAAGGAGTTCAATTTATCCAAATCCTGTTTGGAAGCCCAGGTTTCTTGAATGCAAATAATATCACTGTCTTTTAAAAGAATGTCCAATACAAGCCGACTTGCCTTGTCAGCGCCACTGTTGCCGAGGCGCAGGCCACGCGCATTGTATGACGTAATCCGAATGTTTGCCATATTAAATAGTATTGTCTATTCCTTGCTGTCTTCATTGCCAGTCCCAACTTGGGCAACAGATGCGCTAGCGTGGCTAGGATCAGAGCTAACTGTAGCTGTAGCATGTTTCCTCCGTGGTTCATAGTATCTGCTTACGAAGACACCTGCTGGCCAGAGTTCGGGCACATACATGTCTGCTACTTCATTACATTCAGCCGTTATATGGAAAGAGCTGAATCTTCCGTACGCAGACTCAATTTTGCGGCATTTAACATCCCGACCCAATTTGTCACTCAGATATCCCTTTAGCGTATTAGCCTCCAAACTTGGATCAAACTTTGTTGCAAAAACACTCCCCAGTTTCGTCCTGATGGCGTGTATGTTTGATCCGGCGCCAGTTCCAACTATGCCAGGGGTTTTACGTTCGCGTCTAGAAGGCATACGTGGCTTTGGACCACTATGCCTAGGATCAGATGCTTTCTGTCGGCGTCCTTCCCGCACGACAAGGCTCCAAGCTGGGGAAGACGCCAGCCCAGCAGCTGGTGGCTCAGAGCGCGCCAGGCGCGCAGGAGGCACAGGGCGTGCAGGACTCCCCTGCTGTGCTCCACCGCAGATGATGGGTTCAGGGACACCACTGTGATTCTCCATTACAGAGATGCGGCTGTCCAAGCAGGCAGTGACCCCGCGTATGCTTTCAAAAGCGCTGGATTGCTCCTCCATGGACCTTTTCATGCACCCGAAGTCGGCGTTTAGTTGCTCCATTCGGGCCAGCAGTGCAGACGCATCAATGTGGTTAAATGAAACGGGGGGCAAGTCGTCCAGATAATGTGACACAAATCGTGGTATGTTGTCCCCACACTCGTTAAGCACTTTCATGCACAGTTTCACATTATTAATGTCCTTAAAGTGGTTCTCACCCCCGCTCCTCGGAGCTTACGTTACTCACATTTCCTGTTCAAATCTTCCTCTAAATGGGCGTAGCCTGGAGGACTGAAGGGGGCGTGAACGAGACTGGGCCGTTTACATTGCTCTGGGCGGGGGGCTGCTGACGTCAGGTCCAACTTGCAGACGTCAGGTCCAACTTCTGTGCCAGTGGTGGCGCCAGATTCAAAATTCAAATGTAGTAATACAGGTCGCCAGCAGATGGCGCCTCACAGACGGTTTTAGGCAGAAAGTCTAACTTTCAACTAATTTGCACCAAAGTGACAAGATTATGACCAGGATATGTAGACAACACTATTGGACACTCATTTATACCGTTTATCAGCAAAAAAAAGTGGATTTGAGGGTGAGTTGTCCTTTAAGTGCTCCTTTATGCATAACGCAGCGTTGCGAGGAGTTTGGGCAGACCTCGAACAAAACTTTCTTAGAAGATTCAATCTTATGATTTTAGACACGTCACGTCATTGTCGATCAATTCAAATATTTGCTTATAAAGACAATCTTAAAGAACATTTCATGTAGTTAGAAATTACACCATCAATGCATTGCTTCAGTTTTTCAGTTAGAAAAAAAGTTATATATTCGCCTTCTTCAGCCATAGTAGGTTAAAAAAAACTACTTGCCGCACCACAATATTAGCAGTCTGCACAACCACCAGAGGAAAACTATGAAATGAGTACAGACTGAATAATACATATTTGTGGAACGTCCTCTCCTGTCTTTCTCCTAGTGTTGTGCTGGTCCCCTACTCTTTAATAACATAAACCCTTTATTTTCATACACATTACATTTTAAATTTGGTGAAACATCCTCCTAAACAACTTTTAAGGAACTGCAGAGCTGATCGTATAAAACGTATACACTTTGTTGCGGGCCACGGTCCGTAATCCTCTATTTTGGATCATTTTAGTTTCTCCCGTAGCGTCTGTGTGTTTGTGTCTTTCTCCTTTTCAGAAGATCATGCTCGTGAGTAAACACAAATGTGACTTTGTTCATTTGACAGTAAAAGGATCAGTTTGAAAATTAGTGCAAACAAATTCAACATTGTTTGCGTGTGCCTTGACGGAAAGAGAACTATGTCATTTCTCACTTCTACCACCATGTGTGTAAATCTATATTATCTGACATTTCTTTGTTTATTGCAGATCTACAAAGTCCATCTACAGAATGGTGGTCACCTGTGATCAGTGTGGAAAGACCTACAGCTCTACTTCTACACTAAAGAGACACCACAGAACTCATACTGGAGAAAAACCATATGTGTGTGATCAGTGTGGAACATGTTTTTCCCGAAGAGGAAGTCTTAATGATCACAAAAGAATCCACACTGGAGAAAAACCATACGAGTGTGATCAGTGTGGAACATGTTTTTCTGTAAAAAGAAGTCTCGAGCTCCACAGCAGAATCCACACTGGAGAAAAACCCTTCAGCTGTGACGTTTGTGATCAGAGGTTTTCTCGCAGTGGTTCTCTCAAAGTGCATCAGAGGATCCACACTGGAGAGAAACCATTTGTCTGTGAAAAGTGTGGACACATTAAACACATTAAAACCTGTAAAGAAGCAGGTGTGAAGACGCAGCATCTGGAACAAAGTGAAGGAGACAGAGCTGAGGCTGCGTCAGTAGATAGTATAGACGGCGGTAGAGAGCAAGTGGTGAAAAGGTGGTACTGCACCCTAAAATCCCCAGAAAAGAGACGGCGCTCTTGAGCAAGTGGTGAAAGGTGTTACTGCACTTTGTTTTTCAAAGAGTTAGCTTCTGTTGGCCTGTGTGTGTGTGATAATGCTTTCACAGTTGTCTAAAGTGTTTTATGATCACGGTGTATTCTAAAACAAGCAGTTAGGTCAATAAACTAATTAATCTACAGGTCCTCCCTGTTAACGACACGTGTGTGTGTCTGATAGTGATGACCGGTTGGGAGGGCGTACTAGCAACAAATCAGAATGGGTGGGAGGTCTGTTACAAGTTTTTCAATGGTTCAAACGCTTTGCGACTGTCTAAGAGAAGGTTATGCAATATGTCTAATACAGGTAAGTTATAACATTTTTTCAGTATTCATATTAAATGTTTTAATTTAGTTTATCTCTAGGAAAGGGTCGTTTATTGACACATTATAACACCGATGAAGATTTAACTCCAACAGCAAAAGTTACGAGAGGTATACAGCCAACGGATGAAATAAGGTAAGATCTCATTTTCCTTAATGTCTTAATCAGATGTTTAATACTTTTATTTCATTTATACAGCACAGGTAAATTAAACATCAAGTCAATGCCCCTGATGCATAAATTAAATCAACATAAAGCTCCGTAAGTCGGTACATATACTAACTTTATATAACAAGTTTTATGAGAGGTATATATTTTTTTTTCTAGAGCAATTCTATCACGCCGCAACGGACACAAAATAACTAATCACGGGGATGATGATAAAAGGTGAGTTACATATTATAATTTTATAATGATAGTGGTTATAATTTTCTTCTCACTATTTTAGCTCATCAGAGGGTGACGAAGACACAGAGAATCAGCCCTCAGTAAACCAGGATTTCAACATAATCGATTTTATAGCGACACTCGACATTGATGCCATTATACGCGATGAAGGTATACCAAACAACGATCAAGATGTATTAAACGCAGGAACACCATTCCCGGACCGTGAGGAATACTTTGAACCTGGACACGCAGCAGCTCCTGATGCAGCAAAAGGGCCTGTAAAGAATGCTTTAACACCAAAGGTGAATACTCTACAAGAAAACACACATCTGTTAAATACCAGTAGTGAAAAAACTTTTGTGAAAACAGAGCTCTCCAACATACGTGAGGAATTGAAGTCAACCAAGGCACGTTGTATTAGTGCAGAGCTACACACAGAGAGGTGTCTAGCAACTGTGAGCCAGCAAGTAAAATACACAGAGGCCCGTATACTTAACGAAATACATCAGTTAAAGAGACAAGTTCACCATCTTCAAACTGAGCACGTAAAAGTTACTAAACAAGTGTTGGTGTTGCAAAATCAGCGTACAAACGCTACCATACACAGAGCTAAACTACGCGCTAGAGGCCAACGAGCCCAACTACAGACACGCGCGCTTCAACGAGAGGTCCTACAATTGCAAACTCAATACACGAAAGCCTATACACAACAGGGAATTAGAAACAAAAACCTTACGCGGGGAAATACAAATTCAAAATTTGACTACTGAAATCAACCACCTTAAAAACACGGGAAACGTAATAGCTGATAGAATTGCACAAGTGGATAACCAAGCGAGCACGTCTATAGCGGCTGTTATAGAGCAAATCAATGAAAACACTTCTCATTTGAAAGCCATCGAAAATGCTTACGATTGTGAAGCACACTAAAAGACCTAACGCTACAACACCCTCTCAACTTCCTAAAAAAATAAGAATTAATTATGGTCAGCGCTCTAACACTTATGCATCAGTGGAACGTTTAATTCGTACTAATTATCAAACAACGCGTAACACGTATCCGTGTATTGATCGACTAATTCGTACAAATCATCAAAGTGCATCCCATGCTGCAGAACGGTTAATAGCACCGACCATAGCTGAAAGGGCTTCGCTAGCAGACATTACCTCAAATGCTGATAATGTTAAACAGTCAATAAGTAAAGATACTATACAACCCACAATACAACAACCTACAAACAACTGTGTAGGTATTAATAGTCAAACTATAGAAATGGATACGCAAAATGACGAACCACCTACACGCAGCTCTGTTTTAAGTCGACACAACAATGTTTCAAGAAATTGTATAGTTCACACAGAGTCAGACCCCCAGGAGGGTAATGTTAATGAGGGTAACGAGACCATACAAGTGGGTGGTGTTGTACAGATTACTGAACAAAGTGATGTCCCCGCTAACGTACAATCAGGTGGTGAGGTCCATGTTAACGTAATATCAGAGTTTAACACCACGGTAATGTCTGAGCACATTGATTTTCGAGGTATAGACCCTACAGATACCGTAAAGGCTTGTGAAAGAGTAAATGAAAAATTAACAGGGTTAATAACACAGGCTGTAAACAATGCAGAACAAGGATGTGTGATGAATGTTGCATTACGAGGGCCCTCGCTTAGTGACGATATTCAAGTTATTTTGAACTCTGACAATAACTACAATATTGACCATTTTTTAGAGGAAGTGGAAAAAGTGTTACAAAGTAACGACAAGTCCATTATAGAAGATGAAATGACATTAATAGTGAGTATAGCACATTCACAAAGTGGTGGTAGTGGTCAGCGGCTCAAACTTGGTGCTATAGCGTACGATGCAATATTGCTAAAGAAAGGTAAATTTCTTTATAACCCTCACAATACCGAAAATGCCTTTGTTTTGCGATGTGTATAGCTCATGCATTTCATGCGAACTATACCCATAGTAAATTACTCGATAAAGCCAAAGAGTGGCAAGCCGCAGTTGGTCTGGATCAACAAACAAACGTGACACTGAATGATGTGTCAAAGTTTGAGAATCTGTTGAACATAAAAATTGTTGTTTTTCATAACAATCCACCGACTAAACGTCTTCAATCATTTGAAACACAGGATAGAATGCACGAATGCACAATAGCCTTATACCTTTATGAGAATCATTACTATCATATCAAAAATAAAACGGGGTTCTTTGGGAGTCCATATGTGTGCAAATACTGTCTCAAGCCATACGGTGCTAGTTTGCACCATCTCTGTAAATACCTTTGTAACATCTGTTACACACAGTGTGGGACAGCAGGGGAAAACAAAACAATTAAATGTCCCTCAGTGTAAACGCATCTGTAAATCTACCCACTGCTTTAATCAGCATAAACTCCCTGACCCCGTCCACGATAGAATACCTTGCTTTTCTGTGACATATTGTGAAGAATGTAAACATCTGTATCACAACACAGCTAAAAAACACGTGTGTAAAATTCCAATATGCATCCACTGTGATGCTGAGCTCCCTGAAGGTGGTGAAAAGCAACATAGCTGTTACATCAAGCCTTTAAAAGTGGTTCAAGAGACAACCAACTACATTTTTTATGATTTTGAGACAAGGTACGATGGTAACAAGCATGTCCCCGTCTTAGTCTGTACGCTTGACCAGGATGGTGATAAATATAACTTTTCACACGATGGTTGTGTTAAACGAATGTTGAAATATTTTAGAACACCAAAGTTTCGTGATTACACATTCATAGCACACAATGCAGCGGCTTTCGACAACTATTTAATCCTAGAAGAGTTCGCGAGACAGGGGCTAACCCCTAGTCTCACCGTGAGAGGCACACGTGTGCTCTGCATGTATGACAAGCGACTTAGGCAAAGATGGCTGGACTCGATCAGTTTTCTGCCTATGCGTTTAGCACGTATACCTGAAGCATTAGGGTTTGATGACCTAGAAAAGGGTCATTTCCCTCATTTATTTAACACCAAAGAAAATGAGTGTTATATAGGCCCCTACCCTGAACCAGCCTTTTACGGCGTTGACAAAATGGATCAAGCGCAGAAAGTTAAATTCAACGAGTGGTATGACAGTGTGAAACATACAGAATTCAATCTACAATTTGAAATGCAACGCTATTGTCTCAATGACGTAGCTGTTCTCAGACGTGGCTGTCTGCTCTATCGTGAAATGTTACTCTCTGGAACAGAGGTGGATCCGTACACGTTTGTAACTCTCCCAAGTTATTGTATGGGTGTTTACAAAACGGTATTCCTGGAGAAAAACACAATAGCTCTAACATATGACGGCTGTTATAACGGGGCCAACAAGTGTTTCTCTGACGGATCAATCAAATGGCTCGAATACCTCTGTAAAACCACAGGGTTAACAATACAACACGCTCTCAAAGGGGGTGAAAAGCAAATTGGCCGCTATCACGTAGACGGCTATAACCCCTCTACAAACACATGTTACGAGTTCTTTGGGTGCTTTATTCATGGACATGAAAAGTGTTACCCACCGGGAGGGATGAATCACCTATCTAAAAAGACTTTTAGTGATCTCTACATTGCAACCATTGACAAAATAAAAAACCTGAAAGGTCAATCCAATGTGGTAGTCATGTGGGAATGTGAATGGAACAAGTTAACTAAAACAGATGCTTCTGTGAAAGAATTTCTCAAAGATTACAAAAGTCCAGAGCGTTTAAATCCACGTGATGCTCTTTATGGTGGTCGTACAAATGCCATAAAGTTATATTACAAGGTGTCTGACGGTGTAAAAATACTCTACTATGATTACACAAGTTTATATCCGTCTGTACAAGCGTGGAAAGAATACCCCATAGGTCACCCACAAATCATCATTGGTGATTTTGAACCACTAGAAGCATATTTCGGATTTGTAAAATGCGTAGTATTGCCGCCTAGAGGACTGTTACATCCTGTGTTACCCCATAAAATGCATGACAAGCTGTTTTTCATTCTATGTAAAACATGCGCCACAGAATTGAATCAAATGACCGAGTGTGATCACACTAGCACAGAACGAGAATTCACAGGGACTTGGCCTATTTCCGAAGTGCTAAAAGCTGTAGAAAAAGGTTACATTGTACAGAAAATTCACGAAGTGTGGCATTTTGCTGAAAAATCAGATCAACTGTTTAAAGGCTATGTCAAAAAGTTTTTGAAAAAGCAAACAGGAAGCCAGTGGATATCCTGATCATGTGAAAACACCCGAGGATGAGGAGAAATACATTGCTGAATATCACGAACGTGAAGGTATTTTACTGGATCGTCACAACATTAAACCTAATAAGACGCGACGGAGCTGTAGCAAATTGTTACTGACTAATTTATGGGGTAAATTCTGTCAACGTTCAAATCTTGGGCATACAGAGATGGTGACAGATCCTGCGCGTTTTATGCAACTCATGTTTTCTGATCATTTTGAAGTCACCCAATTCCACTTCATTTCCAATGCTATGGCTATAGTACAGTGGCGCTATGCTAATGGGGTCCAGTCGCATGCAAAAGATTGTAACATTTTCATCGGGGCCATGACAACATCCTACGGAAGGCTCATGTTATATGAACTTCTGGACAAGCTTCAAGACAGAGTGCTATATTGTGATACAGACTCTGTCATATTCACAGCTAAAAGTGGTGAGTGGATCCCACCCACAGGGGGGTTCCTAGGTGATTTGACCGATGAGCTCGGCAATGGAGACAGCATTACTGAATTTGTCTCAACAGGGCCTAAATCGTATGCCTACAAGACGGCCCTAGGGGACAAACAAGTCAAATGCAAAGGTGTGACTTTGAGGGGTGCAAATGTAGAGACCGTGACACACGACTCTCTAAAAGACTTGTTAGATAAATTCATGGCTAATCGAGAGACGGATGAACATCTGATAACAGTATCTGACACGATTACCAGAGATAAGACACGCTTTCACCTCAAAAACAGGTCACTTGTTAAAAAAACTGCGTGTGACATACGACAAACGTCGCTTGCTCGATGACTACTCTACAAAACCCTATGGATTTTAAATCAGAGCTTTTTGACACGAGGCTCCAGCATCCTTTTAGTTCTGTTATTAGTGGGCCTTCAAATTGTGGCAAGACATATTTTGTTAAAGACATTATTGAAAATGCTGACGCTTTAATATCCCACAAAATTGAAAACATTGTCTACATATATTCATGCTGGCAACCGCTCTATGACGATATTCTAAAAATACGTAATGTCAACTTCATCAAAGACCTCCCAGAATCTTTAGCAGATGACACATTGTTACCGCCGAGCAAAAACAATCTACTTATAATCGACGACTTGATGAACGATGCTTCAAACAATTTGGAAGTGCAAAATGTATTCACCAAATATGTCCATCATAGAAATCTTAGTTGCATTTATATGGTCCAAAATTTGTTTGTGCAGGGTAAAAGCAGTCGCACAATTAGTTTAAACACAAACTATCTAATACTTTTTAATAACCCCCGGGACAGATTCCAAATATCTCTACTAGGTAAACAAATGTTTCCTAACAAATCCAAATTTTTTCTAGAGGCTTTTAACGACGCTACAAA